TATATATATATATAAAACTTAGAAGACTAATTTGAAGCATATAATTTTTAGCATATAAGGGTTGGGATTCTGTTAGTTGATAAAGAGACATTTGACAAGAACTTTCTTTCATTTCCTCTCTTAGTGGGATTTGACAATGAACTTTGGCATCATTTGCTTTTCTTTTTAGCCAAAAAAGTAGGTTGATTGGCAATAATAAACCTATTATGGTTACTGGTTTAACCGGCAATTGGAATGCATTTGTAACGACCCCAAATTCCAACCACGGGCCGTGATGCACCTAACATTTATTTACTAGGCAAGCCAACATTACCTGAAGAATCAACCAAGTTTTAACAATTTAAAAAGCAGGATATTGATAATTAATATTTGAAATGCTCTGAAATACATAAAACAACTCCATAAACACTCGCTGACTTTGAACTCACTGACTCCCAGAAATCCGGAGTCACAAGTACATGAGCGATTAGAATACTACAAATACAGTCCGAAACAAAGTACAATTGTTCGAAACAAGGTAACAATAAGCTAAATAAGAAAGGGGACTTCAGGGACTGTGAACGCCGTACAACTCTACCTCAAGTCTCCTGAATAGATATGATCTGAGTAAGCCTCTGCTAGACACCGTTGGGACCAATACCAGAATCTGCACAAGAAGTGAAGAAGTGTAGTATGAGTACATCTGGCCCAATATACTCCGTAAGTGTCGAGCCTAACTTCGACGAGGTAGTGACGAGGCCAAGGCAAGACACCTACAATAAACCTGTACAATTATATATATATGCATAAAAGAATAATAAATAAAGAGTCAAATGAAACAACGGAGTAGGGGCAGGTATATGGGACAATAAACTGAAACAATAAATGAGGAACCAAGAAATAAACCTCTTTCCAACACGGGCAACGAAACTACCAAGTCATAATCCATATGACCACATATCAAGTAAAACAATAAAATCAATAAACTCGCACGACATCACACTTTGTACTTTTACTCTCATCCTCACCAAGTTATAATAAATGCAAGTGCACGTCATCATCATTCATGCTTTTACTCTCATCCTCACATGATCATAATAGAAATACATATGCACGACATCACCCTTCGTGCTTTTACTTCACACTCGCTCAATCAATGATAATAATGTGCAAGTATAGTACGACAACACCCTTCGTGCTTTTCACTCTTCCTCACCAAGCAACAACAACAACCTAAGTATTGAATAATGCGGGAGGCAATTTCAACCTCAACAATGGTGCTAGAACAAGCAAACTTAACTTTCGGTATCACAAAAATTTTAACATAAGCAATAAATACGGAAGAGAACAAAAAAAGAATATCTAACTAAGGCATGGAAGACATAGTGAATGAAACAACATGGTACAAATAAGACATATTACAACTGCATGCTTTAACCCATAACGACGTATATATACTCGTCACCTTGCATCTACCCCGTCCCCACACATAGTTCACGTAGCAAATAGATCAAATAAGTTCTAATTCCCTATAGTCAAAGTTAACAACGACACTTACCTCTTTTTGCTACCAAATCAATGATTAACCACAACGTTTTTTTAGAATACGTCTCTAAACCAATCGAATCTAGCCAAATATAGTTCAAACAATTCAAAACAAGCTTTAGAGACTACCC